ACCCGGGAGGGAGCTGCTCTGTGTCCCAGGTCTCCTCAGGTGACCGAGACTTCTATTGTCCTTCTCTTCCTTCGTCCACTTCACAGGTCACAGCGGCGTGAATCAGCTTGGCGGTGTGTTTGTCAACGGGCGGCCGCTGCCAGATTCAACCCGGCAGAAAATCGTGGAACTGGCCCACAGCGGGGCTCGGCCGTGCGACATCTCCCGAATCCTGCAGGTGAAAACGCCAGTCGCCTCCCCAGTTGGAGCCAGCCCGAGGCTTCTTGTTTGGAAGACAGGGAGGAGGGCTTTCCACGGCTGCAAACTTCCCTGTCCAGCCTTCTGGGGGGAAACAATAATAAATCATTCTCAGTCCAGCGGCTTCTCCAAATCATGGGAGATATATTTTGGTTGACCAGTCTGTCTATGCCTTATTTCCATGTGGTCATGTAGAGCTGCAGTGGTGCCTTAGTTGGCTGGGAATGAACTGGGCGTTGATAAGAGACGTTCACCTCCCGAATGCCCCTCTTGGAGATCTCTCCCCCAGCTCCCTTGGAACTTCTTTCCGAGCGAGCATTGGGGGTGCAGGGGGGGGCAGATAAGGTGTCCTCCCTACTCGGATGTAACTTCTGTTTTCTGCATGCATATATTAAGCAAAAGCTGAAAATCCAGCAGTATTCAATTCCCCTTTGCTTCGGAACTCCTTACCCGAGGCTCCTCAAGAAGTTTTGGCCAGGTATTTGGCTTAGGGATGCAGTTGAATTCGTCTCTGATCCATCAGCTCCACAACCCCAATATCCCTTCCCCAAGAATGTGACTATTTTGAAAACTGGTCTGAAGATGTCCTTAGTAGCTTATCTACTAAACAGCTTACCAATATTTGCCATCTTTCCCCAGTTTTTGTCTTCTTTCCCCTGTGTCAAAAGGTTTTTTTAGAGCAAAAATTTCACCTTTGTAGCATGTAGGGCCCCAAATGTAATCTTTTTTAAGAAAAGAAAGAAAGAAACCTCTCTAAGTAAGTTCTCATACCATTGAAGGTATATTTTTGTGTTATAGACCCATGCAGATGCAAAAGTCCAAGTGCTGGACAATCAAAACGTAAGCTTGTCATTGTTTAATGCATACTTAAACAATTTTATTTTTGTCTTGAAATTATTAATAATGTGATTTTCTGTCCACTTCCCTGATGCAGGTGTCGAATGGCTGTGTGAGTAAAATTCTGGGCAGGTATTACGAAACTGGCTCCATCCGACCGCGGGCAATCGGAGGTAGCAAGCCAAGAGTAGCGACTCCAGAAGTTGTAAGCAAAATAGCACAGTATAAGCGGGAGTGTCCCTCGATCTTTGCTTGGGAGATCCGAGACAGATTACTATCGGAGGGGGTCTGTACCAACGATAATATACCCAGCGTAAGTTCATCGAGATACTCCTTTCTGTCTGACCTAGAACAGAGCTGTAGCTAACCATTCCCACCCTGTCTTCCCTTCTCTGTCTCACCACTGTCCGTCCTTCTGTAGGGGCAATACTTGCAGGAGTGCTTTGAAAAAATACCTTGGGATTCATCCTTGACTTTTAAGATCTTGGGGATTTAAAAAAATAGAACTTACTGCTTTTGCAGGATTAAGAACATCCCAAATCTTATAAAGTGGGGAAATCTTTCTGCATGAATTAGGAATGGCATCTGGCAGAGGGCAATACAGGCTGGGCTGTTTCATCCCAGGCATTTCTTTCTAATTTGAAGAGGACAAGGCATTTTTGCCCCAGGCTATTCAACTTCCAAAGAAGTGATTCTCTGGTGAAAGGAATAGCAGTCAAGCTAACCCACTGGGCTTTGCCGCCTTGCCGAAAGTGATCTAAAGTTGGCTGCCTGTGCCCCAATGCCAAATACGTTTGAAGGCACAGCTGAACACAAGGGTCTCTTGTGCCACTTGCTTTTCACTAGGATCCTGGCTTTTTGTCTCAGGCTCAGTAGCATATGCCTTGCTCCTGAATGCATCCCCCACTCCCCACCCTGCAGTCCACTTGGGATGGCAGCTAGCACTGCATCAACTGGGCCCCACTGATTAGAGTAGCCCTGCTGAAAGCCAGGAGCTTGCAATGGTGCAAGAGGGCCAGGGAAGACTTGTGTCTTGAGAGTGCTTGCCAAGGACTCCTGATGAAATCAATGGTGGGAATGATTCTGGGAAGCCGAGTGAGTTTTGCTTGACTTCTGGCTTTCTTCTCTGGGAGGACTGTTGACCTGTGGCTGGGATGGGAATAGGGGGAGAAGTTCTGCACTGTGACTGCCATTTGGTGGAATGCAATTTCCCTTCCAGGTCTCTTCGATCAACCGAGTCCTACGCAACCTGGCTAGCGAAAAGCAACAGATGGGAGCAGATGGAATGTATGACAAGCTAAGAATGCTGAATGGGCAGACTGGGACGTGGGGCACCAGGCCTGGATGGTACCCAGGGACATCCGTCCCAGGACAACCAACGCAAGGTAGGCAGGGCGGGGAGAGTTCAGTCATCTGTCCCATCCCCTCCCCTCTCTTCCCTTCCCTTCCCCTCTGCTCCCTGATCAATCTGATTTCTCAAATGACCCTTCAGAGCCCAAAGGGGCAACTCAACATGGGCTTGCCTGCCTCTGACTCCTCCTCCATTTCCACTTCTCTCACACTCTCTCCTCTGCCTCTCTGAGAATGCTCACTTAAAGGGCATTTTATACAACCCATGATTTTTCAATCCACTTCCCCAAATCCCAGAGAATGTCAGAGATGGAGGCTAGACTAGGAAGTTAAAAAAAAAAAAAAAAAAACGGAGAAGGAGAGCCAGTGGGGTGCAGTGTTTAAGAGTTCAGACTAACAGTGGAAAGGCCAGGTTCTAGTCCATCTCCAACCACAGAAGCTCCCTGGATGACTGAGCTAGACACTCTCTCTCAGCCCAGCCTCCTTCACAGGGTTGCTGTTGTGGGGACAAAATGGGAGAGAGAGCACTATCTATGCCACCCTGAGTTCAAACCCTTGCTAAGAAAACTGCCCATGTCGCCAGCAGCTGAGTTTCAGGTTGTTTTTAAATCAAGTCCCTACACAACCACTATCCCTTTCTCCCAATTAAAAGGCATCAGATGCTAACTCGAGCAAAAACCTCATTGTATCAGCTTGCTCTGAAAGCGTAATTAACAAATGACGAAGCCCTGAGCAGGAAGGAGCATTCCCAGTGATGGACGGGCTAAAAAACGTGGTTCTTCATCTTTCAGGGTCTGATTATCTGGTGGTTGGATTACCATCCATGTCTCTTGTCGAGTCTTGTCTGTCTTTGCCAGAAAATAAGTATTAGGAAGGGAAGAACAAAGGGACAACTTGGGCAGGAAAACTCTACTGCTGCGGGTTGCTCCTACCTGTCCCCCTCCATGCTGGATAAGGCTTTGGCATCTTGAAACCCAGGCTGGAGGAGAACTGGATTTGTTTTCAGCCACGAACTCCAAATTCAGGGGTGGATCACTGCTGACAGGTCCCGGTGCCAACTGTACCTGGGCATCCTCAGCTTGCTTGTGGTCAGGGGCAGAGGCAAGTTTTCACATCCCCTTGGCTTGAGTTCACTCTCTTGTCGATTGGGGTTTGTCTGCTTCTTTGTGTGTCCTCTCTTGGGGTGGTTTTGGTCAGCCTTTCCAGCGTCCGGTAGCCAACACCCTGCTTGGTGTTGTCTGGGAAAAGAGAATGAGGAGGGGAAGCCAGAAGAGAGACTGAGAAAGAGAGCGCGAGAGAAGGAAAGAAAGAAAATCAGTAACAATATGCAGAATATCTAGTACAAAGGATGTTTCTGTCACTCGCAAGAATTTGTTATGGGAACAATTCTGTCGCTATGTAATTGCTCATTAGAGATCGTTTTGTTTCTCATTAAGGCGACATGAATAAGCGTCTAGTTGAAGGAGACAGCTGTAGAAATGTTCCACAGGAGACCTCTGGACACGATATGGCACTGCTTGCCAATTAGACATGTCAGTTTTAAGAGAAGGGAGCTTTCTAGGAGGGACCCTAGAAGACCAGTGCTTTGGGCCATCCTATTACCGCCCCAAGCCTCAGCTCTCCGGGGGCGGGGGGTGGTGGCAGAGGCAGCAGAGGCTAGTGGAGGAC